CAGGAGCAGAGACCAGGTGGAGGGGCCAAATGGACAAATTGAACTAATTTATCACGTGGCCATATTGTTTATGGCATTTCCATTGTCTTTATCATATTCTTATATGCACAAACAGTTGACGCATAGGTAAGAAGACAGAGAAAGGATCCAGTATCAACAGTGAGAGAAGTTATGCTACTGAATTTCTATGAACAGATGCAAGGTATTGACATGAGAAACAAGAGGTCAAATGATCTATGCAATTTAGACCATGGACAGAATCAAATAACAAGAGGCAATTAAGCCATCTGGGGAAAAGGACGTATAGGCAAAGCAGCATGGGTGGTGATTTCACAGAATTTGTTTGGAATAGCATTCAGGGTGAATGTTTCTAAGTTCAGAGAAATAAACCTAACCTCAGTGCACTTTAGCTTTAAGTGCAAATAATGGCATTAAAGAACAGCCGTAACACTCAGAGGATGTGTCAGCATTTGGATCTAACAACAGGCATGGAAAAAGCTAACTAGCAGTAACTCTGCCAAGAGCAATCTGACCCCACTGCTTACAGAGACTGACTAGGTGTCTTCCCAGTGCTCACTGCAGGGAGAACCACAGATCCCAGGAGAAGCTAAATGCATCTAAGAAGAGCCATCCCATGTCATGTGTTTTGTCCTGGGAACCAACCTCAGAGTGCCAGGAAGCCCCTGAGCAACCAACTGGCTAAGGGGCCCCGCTGAGCTCCCAAGAGACTTCCAGAAAAACTGCCAGGAACATGTGTATGCTATACAAAGCACTATTATCTTGCTTCATGCCTTTTTTATCAGAACACAGCATTTGGTGTTTATTCTCCTACATAACTTCTAAAATGCGAAGAAAGAATGACAGCTTTAGAGGTGTTCAAGGAGCAGTACACCCATCTATATCAAATGATGTGGTTCAATGGTTCCTCCACATTAAATATTGATAGAATAGATAATGTCGTTCAACAAAGACTTGGGTTACTTTGGCACTTGCTGAATTCATAGCAGACTTACACAATTCCTCATCTGTGTATAAACATGCACAAAATAAAAATAGGTATGCAAAACACAACTTGTTTAAGTGATTTAGTATAGGATAGATATTGCCTTTGGTGGTCATGAAGTCTTAGGTGGATATTAAATGGTTTCATAGCACCTACTTTATCATGATTTGATTAAATGGACTCAAATGCCAAATAGACCTTACATCTAACCTAGAAACAAACAATACAAAAACCTCTCTGACCATAGAATAGCTGCAATATTCACATGGGTGACTAGAAATTGTCCTAATAAAGATTTCTCATGTCTGGTTCCAGACCCATCTTCTGTTTCACACCCACCAATGAATGCAAAAAGGCAACCAGAGAGAGTAATATATATTTAATAACTTAGAGCCCAGGCTAACTATATTAGGCTAAATCCAATAGTCACTACCCTCCACCCCCTCCTCCACATACGCATGTTTAGGTAACAGACCTGCTTAAACATCTTAAAATAATTAAACACCTTTGACATTCAGGAAACTCTCATTCTATTTTCAAGCACAAGATACATTTCCAGTCTTTTAGGAAGCTGCCAGCTTGGTTTGCCTGTGCCCTGTGTTACAGAAAATCATAGGAATGCCTCCAACCTGACTCAACACTTCCTGCATAGGTGAAGTGGCACAGGTTCCTGCCAGCCACCCTCTGCTTGGAGCTGCACTGATGTATTCAAATTTTCTTTTAAATTGGTGTCCATATGTAGAGCCCATTCAACTCAGCTTGGGTTATTTGGATTCAATTTCAGCTTTGCACGGTAAGGTGCAACTTAATCCTCAGGAAGCAATGGATTTAGAGGGAACTGCTCAAAGAATCAACTCTTAGGGTAATGCTGAGCAAGGGCTTCAGCCATGAAACTAGAATTTCTGCTCGCAAAAAAATCTCCTGAGTACCACATTGTAAATGCTGACCAAAAAAAAAACAAAAACACAACACCCCAGATACAGACATATGGTAACCATGAGCAGTAATAATTCTTCAGCCATTGTCTTAATATGATGAAACACAAAGAACAATTTAAACAGCCCAAAGTGCTGTTCCTAAATGCACATATATATATATAGAGAGAGAGATCTGTCATAAACCACGAGTTATGGATGGTATTGTGCTATTATGCAAACTGCTCTTAGTAAATAAAACAGTCCTACTATGTTTTTAATATGGCAGGATCAAGCCCTTGATTAGAAGATGGGAAAAACATCCTTTCAAAAGTTCCTAAACCATTTCAGATAATACATGCATAAATCCAAATGACAGAATGACTAGAAGTAGCGATGTTACACTCATTGGGACTATGTATAGAGAAATGGAAAAGCAGAAAAGGCATATATTTAAATTAATTATGCATAGGAAGATGTGGAAGAACTGAGAAGAGTACATCATTTCCAACTACAGATGAGAGTGGCAGGTGATCGTGTACCTTTAATATTGCATTTATACCGAAGTAATATAAAGAAGACAATGTATTAAATTTATATACTGATTGTAGATGATAGAACACACTTTCAGCAGTTAACTGGAAAGGAGTCTCTTTTTTCATAAGAAAGAAAAAGCACAAGTAATCCCGAATCAGTCAGCACATATATGCTGGTTAACATGAGATACTTCAGCAAGTACCTAACCAGTTGTCAGGAGATTTGAGAAATGGCTAAGAGTGTTGTAGGATCTCTGGAGGAGGTGAAATGGGGAAGCTGCATGATGGGCCAGACCTGAGGAAACACTGAACTTAACTGTGAAAGCTACAAAAGTCACTGAACTAGGATAGGGGAAGATGGAGCAGCTGGTTGGAAAGAAATATTCTCTCATAATGAATTGAATAGTGTATGTCCTCCATTAATAGCAATGCAACCAAACCATCAAAATATTGACTACAAACCCTCATTCTGTAGAAAAGTATCTCTTTCAAGCCTACACAGGTTTTCAATAGCTATATAAAAGTAAATTATTGTATCTATTAATGAACATAGATTTTCCTTTTCTTCCAGGTAAACTGTCTAGCACTTTTCACAAGAATTAAATCTATTTGATACAAATAAAACAATTTCCTATTAATATTATGTCAGCTTTTAATACTTTTATACATGTTGGGTAAAACTTCGTTTCTCAACTCTTCCTTCCTGACATAGGATGATCCAGTGGTTACTGCACTGCCTTTGGATTTAGACCAGACTTTGATACCCTGGTTTGATACAGACTATGCAGGACCTTGGACTTACACTTAATCTTTTTGTACCTCAGTAAAGATAAAGCTGCTCTATTTAAAAGGCATGGTAAAAGGTGGCAAAAGTCTAAGAGTGCAAGCATCTTGAACATGATCAAAGCAAGCATTACATAGTTCTTGAAAGGAAGGTAAATAGTTGATTCAAATTGGAAGACTGAACAACCATTTACAACCTTTTAAATTTCTGTCTAAGCCCACGTGTAGGACTAAAACCAATGAGGAGCTAAAAATCCTCTTCTGTGAATAGGAAATATAATTAAATCTGGTATTTCAGCTAAAAATACTGTCATAATGTGATAAACATTTTTAAATAGCTTCTTTCAGAACCATCTTGATTACATATACTTCTACTTAGTTTGCTGTTTTTTTTTTTTCTTTTTGTAAGACAACATGATAGATTATATGTCATTGACGATTGTGCAAAAAGTGTCAAATCTGTGTCTGTCATCAGAAATGGCTATATTGATTTTATTGAGTGTTTCAAGATCAATGTGCTCCATGTGAAAATTAACACTTCTAAAATTAGCATACAGGGCTTTCTGTGTCTAAATTAAAATATACCAAAAAAAGAAGTATGACAATTAACTAAAAATTATTAAAAATCTTTGGAGATGAGACATTAAATGTTTGTTTATGTTAAACCTGTATTATCCTGTATCCTGCAATGAAAGTCATATTGCAGCATCCTAATGCATCATTTACAGATCTCTCTGAACCAACTATCAGGCTGCCTTCCCCCACTGTTTTAATAAAGCAGACCAAACCAACTGGCAAAGTGATCCCTGGAGAAAAAACAAAAGCCATACAGCAATAATACAATTCTCATTGGCTTTTCACATCAGTTTTCTCCCTTTTAGCTAGGAAAGTCAATTTAACAGTGTCCCCCATTCATACATCTGAGTCCTTACAATTAACTCAATTTTCAACCTTCTGGCCAGTTCAGCAGTGAGGTTTCAATATAATTTCAGCATTTGCTTTAAATGCTTTGATTCAATAGGGGCATATCTTTCTAGTATCAATACTTCCTCATCAATACTGTGATTTTCGCTATTATCTCTATACTTTGGAGATTAGCAGAACTTAAACAGTTTTTTATCTCAGTCATTATCTTCTGCATTAGCTACAGTCTAATAGTTTCCATCAAATGTTGAAACACACATGGTAGTAGGATTATGGGGACTTCAACAGACAAAACAGTGAACGAAAAAAAGCAGGTGTAATAGCATAGCTGAGAAAAAAAAAATCTGAAAAAAAAGCTGTTAAATTCTCAGGGCAGGCATCTGAGAAAAACACTTAAACCAGAAAAGGCCAACTGTCTTCCTTAATATTCAACAGCAGAATGAATATTTGGCCTAGAAATAGGTCTTAAAGTCATAAAGACTTTGACTTTAAAAGTACACATCAGAACTGACAGCAACTAAAAAAAGAGAAAGAGGAATAATGCAGATGTTAGTTGTGCATGCACAGTGTTAAAGAGCTGAAAAGAAGATATTCTCATGCTGTTGTTACATAACCCCAAAATCCACTTCATGCCTTGCCTGTATTAACCTGAGACAAGAATTTATAAGGCCGAGGATTTCCAGTGCACAAAAATTCTCTGCAGTTGTACAGAGGAGAGTGCGGTATGATAAATATCAAATGTTTCCAAAGGAAGCACTTACACAGAATAGAAAAGAAATGGTACACCCTTGTCTCCTAATTTAGTCCACCTTTCCCACTACCTATCGTTCTCTGATTTACCTTACAAGGTCTGATAAGGAACTCAGCTTGCAATATCAGTCATAGCTCCAAAAGTTTTGTCTATGCTCTGGAATCAGTCTAGTGAGTACTTTTTCTTACCTAAAAGAGAAAGAAAAAAACAGTAAGTGGTCATTTACATGAAAGCCTGACAGATTGGAGAAGAAAGGTTTTTTGACTTTTCAAAATTGTTTACTTTATATATGGCCTGAGATGGCTTTGGAAATTTGAATCCAAACACTGTGCAAGCAATGCTGCTGTTTGCTAGAAAGATTCCTCTGTAAATTTTATGCTCTACAATGAAGACAGATTCTTGGGTAAAAGTGCATCTAAGTGGAGAGGGAAACCAGGAACAACAAAATCCAGGGTGCACTAATGAAGCTGTTGGTAACAGGTTGCTCACAAAAAAGTTCTTAACATGCAACGCAGTGGTGAGCATCCTGCCAGGGTACAGAGCAACATGCAGAAAGCTTACAGGGGTTCAGAGAGTTTTGACATCCTAAGGGAAGAGAAATCTACTAAGGTTCATTGAATTAATAGAAACCACCACTGCTTCAAGAAGTCCTTGAGCTGCAAATGATTAAAGCCTTGGAAAGCATCCATCTGTCCTGGTATTTTCCCCTAAGTATCTGCTTTCAGCTGCTGTCAGGTGTTTTGTTTGTTTCTTGTGTGTTTTTTTTTTGTTTGTTTGTTTGTTTTGTTTGTTTGTTTGTTTTGTTTAATGGATCTTCCTTTTCTGTCCACAAGCAGGTTTTCATTCTCTAAGCATGAGAAGAAACACAAAAATTTGACTATTTGACTTCCTGAGGTACAACCTATTATGTGCCTGCAGAATGCAAGAGGATGTGACCTCTCCAGGAAGCATAAATTTTAAGAAACTATTCCTAAAACCAACTGCACCAGAGTACTGTAGCTTGGTTGTTCACTGGATGTCCGGAACATGGTGTCAGCACATGTGGGGGTACCACAGAGGCACAGCTCACACATCCCTGCACTGCCACAACCTGCAGCAGAAAACACAAAGCCCCTTTCGGCAGCAGTAGCAGATGTCATCTTGTAACAAAATGGCTTGAAAAAGTCTTCAAGGCATAAAATGAACTCTCAGTGATGCTGCCTTCCTTAATAGTTTATGAAGGATGTAGATATTAGCCAGATCAAACTGCCACACAGCACCAGCAAGGAAATGGCCATGATCTATCTGGATAAAATCTTAGAGTACAAAGAGCTATAACAGCTTTGTCAAAGGAAGCAAAACCCAGCTGGCAATTTAATTTGTGCTAGCAAACCAGATATTACTTCTGTCTCATTTAAAGCTACTTCCAGAGAAGGAGAAGAAAATCCCTGCTGTAACTGAAGTGACACGACAGTAACAAACATCAGCTCTCTGCGTAGAAAACAAAGTACTGCATTTGTCATAGCTAGTCTTATAAAAAGGCCGTCAGCTGAATACATATGTTCTTTGTCACAGTTTCCTCAATAGCCAGGTGAGTAAACAAAATGAATATGAATTCCTGCGTAGACAGCATCTGTTTCACTTTAACCCGTTTCCTCTGCCCTCCCCAAGAAGCACTTCAGCACCAGGCTCCGCGCAGCTGCACACGTGTGCTTCCCCAGCCCCAAACACACAACGTGTTTTGCTGTCTCATTTTATTTACCAAGTCTGAGTCAGCCCACCTGAAGATCTCTACTCCTGGCTTTGTGCTGTGGAGGAACAAAGAGCTCCAACATGATGGGACTGAATTTCACATGAAAGATGTATGCATTGACTGGTTCAGCTACGAGTTGGTGAAACTCATGGGAACAGAAGGGAGACTCCACACATCTTCCTTTCATTTCACTCCTTTTTAAAAAATAGCCCAATATGACGTTGACATGTACATCTTGAAATGTACCCCAAAAGAAATCTAATAAATATATTTTTTCCTCCTTCATAATCAGTGCATGAACTGATCAGATGCAAGGCAATCCAGGATATTTCTGCTGCTATGGTGCTTTGCTCCTTCAACAACCTAACTGCATTCCCTGGAAATACCAACACAGGGAAGCACAAGCGATGACAGAACTTAGATTATTTGTTTTCACTGTCATTTAGAAGCATAAAAGTCCCTCCACCACTAGAGGAAGCTGTTTGTATCCCACCACAAATCACAATGCCCCTGGCTTTCACTATGCCTTACTGAGGAATTAAATGCATTATGACAAATTAAGAATGTATACACATTTATAAAATATAATCACAAGAACTGAGAAAGAGGGATTCAAGCCCAAAATGTTGTCCTGCCTGACACACATTTGCTTGTTTTGCTTCCCCTTCCCCCCCAGCACAACTTCATTTCTTCTTCTACCAGCCCTTTTCTTCTGCTTCCAGGTGGATTTTTTTTCTCCCTCTGTCCCTTCCTTGCATCTTTCTCCAGTTTTTCATTGCCCCCTTTAATATGAGGTATGAAAGAAACATCATTAGCCAACATGGTCAAAATCCTTAATATTTTTCACTATAGTTTGTGGACTTCATGAATAATGAGTCTCCATGTCACCAGAAACTTGGCCACCATCTCCTAAATGAGAGTTTAGGAGTAGTCCTGAAGGAGATAGCCACCCAAGCAAGCCTGGAATTAAAGCCAACACCTGTATTTCCAGCCACAGGACTATTCAAAACTTCTCCCTGTAGTGAGAAAACTCCTGTTGTGGGAGCAGGAAGGTGAGTCCTGGTGCCCCCTTCCTGAGCAGGAGGTGCAAAGGGTGAGAGTCTTTCTCCTAGCTGTTCTGTTCATTGGTGCAGGTTGTTAAAGGTCAGGACAGGAAAAAAAGAAAAGCTTTTCTGGAAGTTAATAATCTTCCATGTCTTTTGGATTACATATCCTAACCACAAGTTATAGCCTGGATTCATTTTAAATCTACAAGTAAGCAGCCAGGGCTTGCCCCCTCTCAGGTTACTTGTGTCCAGTCTAAACCTAGCCAACAGCTAGCAAGTACAATGGAAAAAGAAATAGGCATTCAGATCCCAAACTGATGACTCACAGATGAGATGCATGATTGCCAATGCACTGAAATCACCCAAGAACCAGGCCTGAACTGAATTTCACCTGAATCAGTATAAACCTCCATTGAGTCTGGAGTTATACTACCCTTCACAGACTTCTTCAGAGCACACAATTCATTTGTTTTATAAATATTAACATTAATAACAATTCCAGTTGCAAAATGTTAAGGAGCAATTGCTGCTAAAACTACGGTTCTGATACTGAATTCACCCATTTTGAAGCCATCCGTGCTCTCATGGATCTGATGCTGCAGTGACAAATTTTGCAGATTGTGCTAATGGCTGTCAGTGGCAGCAACAAAAGACTGTTTTAATATCAAATATTTCTGTGGATGAGCTTCCAGCTGAGCTGCCCAAGCACACCTAGAACAGCAGTGCTCACAGGATGCTGGGCATAGTAAACCAAAACTCAAAACTCACTGCTGAAAGAGCCCAGCAAGCCAGACCAAACCAAGAAAGAGAGAATAACCAGTATCCAGGGTCCACTAGAAAAAGGAGGATGAAGGAGGCAAGGTCCTAAAATACCAGGTTTTATTTGTAGTATTTTCTATTATTTTTTTTTTTTTACCTTTTTTGTTTGTTTGTTTCCCCATGGGTCACAGAGATTCTCTTAACATTTAGAATACTTTACTGTTCTAAAGGAGGGGAAATCCTGAGATAGAGCTTGCTTAATTTATGACAGAGATTACATGACTTGGATACCATGATAACGAGGAGCTAGAATTGCAGACCCATGTTCCTCCAGCATCATCAGGCCAAGAGGGACAATGATTATACTGTTATTGTTACAGGTATCTTGCTTTCCAGTCCCTCAAGTAAAATTTATTTTTAGTAAACTAAGTAACACATGTCCATACAGAGTAATGTGGATCTTTGCCCTCTCATTCAGTTTTGGACAGGAAAAAAGAAGAAAAAAAAAAGAAAAAATTTGAAAAAAAAAAAAAAAAGAAAAAAAAAAAGAAAAAAAGGAAATTCAATCCCTATCTCAACCCACCCAGGGATTAAGAGTGCTTAGAGGGTCTGGATAAAATGAGAGATGAACAACATATTTGTTAGATGTAATAATGTATGCTCATATGGAAGGAATAGCTAAACTGTCCTTTCCTGTAAAAGAAACTGAACAGATTGCCTAGAAATAGGCAGCTCCTGTTCCCTTTAAAGAGAGAAGCAAATGCCATCCAGATGGAAATTATCAAATGGATCAAACAGCTACATTTTACTCCCAAATGATCTTTGTTCTACTTATCACTCATTATACCAGGAAAACTCTTTTCCCTATATCTCGCACAGGCAAGAGAACATTAATTATTGTATGGTCATTCAAACTATTCCACATTGAAGGGTTTCTTGATGAGATATTGATCTTTTCAGACAAAAAGAGGGAGAAAAAAAGTGTCCTTCGCAATGGGAACATTCACATAAGATCTCTGAGTTCCACGTAAATCCAACATGTGAATGAGGACTACATTGTTCCTGTGGCAGAGCAGTCAACTCTGCAGCTGCTTCTTGACACCCAGTGTGACTAAATGCCTTTTCAACACTCCTATTGCTTGCTTAGCTTTACAAAAGCGAATGCTACAGAGTCCCAGTGAAACAATCCTGAGGTTCTTCATCTACTCTTATTTATACATCCCCATGTGTAAATATTTCGTATGGAAGTTTACACTGAATAAACACACAATATAAAAACCACCAAGAATCCTCATCTTTGGCCCTACATAAATATATACAAGCAAGCATAATAAAATTCAATAAATAATGGGATATTTTCAAAGGGTTAAGAGGAATTAGTTACCATCTATAATGGAAACGCAATGAAATCTGGATACCTAATTCCTTCTTATGACTCTGAAAAAACTCCATAACATTTTATGTGGAAAAAAATCATATTTATTTCAGCATATGCTCCCCCCAAAAATCTGATTTTATTTACAGATGCTTATCTCTTAACCTGTTGAGTTATATATGCTCTGATTATATATTTGATTATAACATGATTTTTTCTTTAACCTGAAAAACCACAGAAACATAGGTACCTTCTTTTATGAGGATGTAAAACTTA